TTTAATTTTGCATATACAGAAAATAATATAGATCCGCAGATAATCATGTAACAATCTAAACCCATATCATATGATGGACCGAATATCTTGCCAATGGGGCGACAGAGGACGATCGACCTCGAAATTTTCCGGTACTAAGTGGCAAGTTTTGGAGTATAACACAAAATCTTGTCATAATTTTGTACTTATCGGCCTAATAATTTAAAGAATTATATATCAGAAAATCATTTCTTAAGCGGTACCCTCGTCAAATCAGTAGAAATGCTTTATATTGAATGAATTCTTACCTTGTTTACTTTTTTTCCATTTCTCTCCGCTTCGTTAGTACCCAATTTCCGGTGGCGATGATACACAGTGTTACTTATTTGTGTAACGATTTCACACCTCAATCGCTGTATGTGCGATATAAACCAGTCTGCACCTCTTACCTATATCACAAGTTTATTAAAACAATCCATATGATATATTATTTATCGTTAATTCCAAAATCATAAATTTTTCGTCTGTTTATTTATCATTCTACATTAGAAATATATGGCATATACAGTGAACATGGTATTTCAGGATCCGCACTTTAAATACACTAGGGGCCTCGGTGGCCGAGTGGTCTAAGTAGCTACTACTGTAATCACTAGCAAGTCAACACTGAGGTTGTGAGTTCGAACCCCGCTCGTTTATGTGAAACTTTTTAATATGATTTTTGATTCTGGTACTTTACCTGAAATATGGCTTATGGGAAATATTATACCTTTTTATAAAAACAAGGGTGACCAATCTGATCCCCAAAATTATAGACCAATTGCTATACTCAGCTGCCTGGGAAAACTTTTCACATCTGTCTTAAATTTTAGATTGAGTTCTTTCTTAGAGGATTATTTATTATTAAATGAAAACCAGGCTGGCTTCAGAAAAGGTTATTCCACAGTAGACAATATATTTGTTATTCATATATTATTTGAGTTGCTAAAGAGGAAAAAGAAGAAACTATATTGTGCATTCGTGGACTTTGCGAAAGCGTTTGATACTGTTTGGCGGTCTGGTCTCTGGTCAAAACTTATAAAACACTCGATTAACGGAAAGATGTATAACGTTATTGTCAACATGTACAATAATATCAAATCACGTATTCACTTTGGATCAGATTTTTCTGAATTTTTCCCTTGTTCCATTGGTGTTAGGCAGGGAGAGAATCTCTCTCCTTTGCCTTTTTCCATTTATCTAAACGATCTGGAATTGTTTTTACAGAATAATAATATAGAAGGTTTGTGCACTATCTCTGATGAGTTAGAAATAGAGTTAAATGTTTATTTAAAATTGTTTGTCATTTTATATGCTGACGATACTGTCTTAATGGCAGAATCTCAGATAGATTTACAAAGACAACTGGACTCCTTATATGAATATTGTGAGTTATGGAAACTTAGAGTAAATGTGCAAAAAAGTAAGATTGCAATTTTTTCACAAGGTAGACTACCGCAGAATATTGTTTTTAAGTATGATAATATAATACTAGATATTGTGAGTGAATTTACTTATCTTGGTGTATTACTGTCTAGGTCAGGAAATTTTTCAAGAGCTAAAAAAAAGCAATGTGAAAAAGCAACACATGCTATGCACGATATTATTCGAAAAGGTAGAGTACATCATCTGTCAATTGAATGCCAACTTGATCTATTTGATAAAATTGTGAAACCAATACTTCTGTATGGGTGTGAAGTTTGGGGTTTTGGAAATAATTCAATAATCGAGAGGGTTCATATTAAATTTTGTAAAATATTACTTGGAGTAAAAAAGTCTACTCCTGATTTTATGATTTATGGTGAATTGGGAAGATATCCATTAGATATTTCAATCAAGTTACGAATGATAAATTATTGGTTCAAGTTGGTAACTGGAAAATATGACAAATTGCCTTATATTTTGTATAACTTAGCAACTGTCAAATATGGTACAAATATTTTATGGTTAAAACAAGTCAAATCAATTTTAGACACGTGTGGCTTGTCATATGTATGGAACAATATCTATTTTGTAAATAAAACATGGCTACATGTAACCATCAAACAGAATTTAATAGATCAATTCAAACAAAAATGGCTAGCAAGCCTACAGGAATCACCAAAAGCATTAAATTATCGTTTATTTAAAGATACTTTGGAGTTTGAGAAATATTTAAATATTTTGGATGACAGGCAGATATCCTTATTTCTTAAATTTCGAACTTTGAACATGAAATTTCCAATAGAAACTGGAAGATGGCAAAACATAGAAAGAGAAAACAGAAAATGTGTATTGTGTAATTCAGATGCCATTGGTGATGAATACCATTACATTTTTAATTGTTCAGCTTTTGATAACTGTAGAAAACAATGTATTACATTTTACTATAGAAATAGACCAAACACATTGAAGTTTTATGACTTAATGAATTCTAAAAAATGTACAGAACTGAACGAACTATGCAAACTTATTAAGGAGATCAATAACAAATTGAACTTTTCTGGGTGAAGAATTGTGAATGCCTCTATCTACTTTCGTACATTATTTATTTATGTAATTGTATTGAAATATGTATAATTATCTCTATACCTTTGTAATTTGGTTTGTGAGAATAAAGATATATATATATATAGGTGCACTCGACTCCAATCTTAATTGACTAGGATTGTCAGTTTTCCTATCGAAGGTCGGTGGTTTTCTCCGGGCACTCCGGCTTCCTCCACCAATAAAAACTGGCCGCCACGAAATAGACCAAAAGCGGTGCTTAAA